TGAACAAGATGCAGAATATTTATAGTCTTCTTGGAGATGATTGGGAAGTTTAGAACTTCAAGGAGATTCTTGATAACTCTCTTTTGGAAGCTATGGGTATAATTTCGAGGGTCCTTGTACTAATGTTGCTTTAATTGGAAGTTAGTTGATAGAAAATGAAAGTCAGCCCTTCGTTTTACTTTGTGTATAAACTTAGAAGAATTGACTTAGTTCTTGCTGTTTTTATCTCTTATGCAAGAATTGTTGGAGCATCAGGAGTAGAGTAGCATAGCTGTGTAGCTAAAGCCAGGACATGAGATGTTGGAGCGTCGAGTACGAAAAAAGAGCAATGCAGTAACTCATTTTCACGTGAAATTTTTACCAGATGTTCGTAACCTGACATCTGCTACCCTGAAATTAAGGAATGATTTAAAAGTGATAGATGAAAGGAGTCGTTATCATCAATCCCAAGAAGGAACACCCAGAAAAGGACAGAAAAAGAAGGGGAGAATATACTCAATTTTGCTCTAAAGCCGACGACAGAAGATAAAGGAAAACCTATGAGTTTCTAGAAAAACTAGAGGATATTCTTCTGCCTTCTGAAGTTCTCACGAGAATGGGTTGTTTCCGATTCTTTTCTTTTTTGTTTTCTCGATTATTTGCTCTTTATGATTGGGAAACATATATCATATGCTTGTTTGGATATACTTGATGTTAGTCTACATTTTCAGCTAGTTTGTGAACGCTTAGGAATAAGGTTCACCTAACATTGTTTATAAACTGTTGTTATTACTTGATTTGAGCAATGCAAGTTGCAAAGAATCGTGATCTGGGTGTTCTGGGAGAAGCCTCGTCTGTTTGAGCAATGGTAGGAAGTTGATTCTAGAGCATCTGTAGGGGATCAGCAAACAAAAGCACAACCGTTTCCCTTTTATCACTACTTTCCCTTGCGATGACATCAATTGTCGGGAAAATTGACAAAATAAGCCTAATGTAGGGTCCTCTTAAGTTTTTTAATCACTCTTCTCAAAACACAAGTTTTCTAGTCATTGCTGACATCACCTACTTTTCCAAATGACCTCTCATGCCCCTCCTTACTCTACTACCAAAAGTTTTTAGTTTTCCTCCCTTTTAGGTTTTCCTCCCTTATTTCTCTTTTTCTTTATTTCTTCTCTCTACCTCCATCTTTTTTCTTTATTTCTTCTCTCTACCTCCATCTTCCTCATTTTCCAGTTTTTTTTTCTTCTTGTCGTTTTTTGTTCTTCTCTCTTTCTCTTTTCCATGTCTTTCGCAAGCATGAGTTTTTTCTTGTTTACTCTACCATTAAAAAAAAACCTAAATCTCTCACCATTTTTTAAATAGCAGCCTCCATAATTCCCGTGAACTTCAACAATCGCCGGCGACAGATGCATCAAAGCCGACGAAGGAGGTCGTTCGTCAAAGAAAGAGGCTCAAGAGAGGAAGGAAGTTCGACTTACGATGGTATGGGGAAGGATATAGAGAGAGAGAAAGTTGAATAAGAGAAAGTTGAGAGAGAGAGACAATTGAGCGAGAGAGAGAAAATGAGAGATGAGTGAGCGAGAGCGAGAATAATTGAGCGAGAAACGATTTTAAAAATTGGAATGGAGATAAACGAAATCTCAAATTTAAAATACTAAGCATAGAAGATTTTTTTAACTAAAATTTAAAATTATAATTGAAATTTAGTGAACCAAATTTCAAACGCATTAATTTTAGTATATTCAAATTTGAAATTTAATTTAGATTTGTTTTCTTAATTGTTTTTTTCCTGTTTAATTATTTGAACGAATGATTTGAAAAATTAACATAAATCTCTCCTTTAATATCTCCCCTAAAATTTTGATTAGGATTAGAATTCAAATTTATAATTTAATTAGGTAGTCCTCCTTTAATCGTAAATTTAAAATTTTATCTAATTAGGTGGAAGTATAAAAAAAAAATCTTGTTTTTTCCTTAATCTCTTCCTCATAAATTTGTTCCTTTAACCATAAATTTAAAATTTAATTTAACTCAATTTGGTGGAGTAAAGAAAAAAAAAATCCCTTTTTTCCTAACCATCCCATTTTTTTCGTTATCATCACCACTTCTTCATCTCTCGCTCCCCCTCACTCTCTCGATCTCGCTCTGTCCTTCTCGATCTCACTCTCTCGATCTCGCTTTGTCCTTCTCGATCTCGCTCTATCCTTCTCGATCTCACTCTATCGATGACGTCGCTCTCGTTCTCTCGTTCTCGTTTTGTCCCTCTCTCTCCTCTCCCCTCTCTCCTCGACGCATTTGGTTTCATGGAGAAGAAGATAGTTCGTACAATAGGGACGTGCAAGAGCTGGAGGTTTGAGAGTTTGGTAGAAGATAGCAGTATATTGTGTATAGAAGGAAAGTTTTTGAAATCTTGAAAATTTGATTTTAGAAAAGAGGGTGAAAGAGTTGGGAAAAATAATAAGGAAAATTTTATCTTATTTCATATGCAAATTATTCTCTCCCTCCTTCTCGCCGCCGGCAATGTTGTCATCGTTCAACGGTGTCGCCGGAGAGGCCACTAGGGAGGCGCAAGAGCTCGGGATGGCAGCAGCGGATGGCAACGAATGGGACCTCCACTGGTTGAATTCCTAGCGTAGACGCCCAAAAACTGGTGTAGCAAATCTAAGAAATGGAGGAGAGAGGAAGAGAGAGAGAAGAGAGATGGAGTCTGGAAGAGAAAAAAAAAGCAAAGGAGGGGCATACAATGTCATTTGACAAAGTATGTGATGTCAGCAGTGACTAGAAAGCTTGTGTTTTGAAAAGTGCGATTAGAAAACTTAAAAGGCACTTACAGAAGGCTTATTTTATCAATTTTCTCATCAATTGCCTTTGCCTTATTTGTTTTTAACACTGCATTTTTGTTTATTATTATTTTTAGTTTGTTAATCACTTACTTTTAATTTAAAAATCATAACTATTGTTGTGATGTGGTACTTGGTATTATTAATATATTTTGAAGTGTTTGTTAACAGTCTGAGTGGGTAGGACCTGGTTCTCCTTACTACAATCGATTTTAAGTGTGCACTTCACTTTATTTTTACGAAGTTGTATGAAGATAACAATTATTCTATTCTTTTATCTTTTTGACTCACCAAACTGGAACGAATTAACAATCCTGACTACTGAGTCAATTGGTATTTGCAGAAGAAATAGTAAAAATGCACTCGAAGCTCGCATTTCACTTAAATGCCTCGGATATTGAGAGGTGCGCTAGGTGCACTATCTTGTTTTTCACTGAACATAGAAATTCTTAAGTATTTGAGCCAAAATGCTAAGATATACTGATTGTTGGGATAATCTCTACCTCAAAAGATAAGAGACACATGCAAGCATACACAATTACAAGTAATACAAGGAAGTAATTCCAAGGTCGAATCCTCAAGGACTTTTGCTTTCAAAATGAATTCGATGAGATGAAATATTTAAAAGTGCAATCGGGATTTATGAGTAAAAATGGGTGAAAAGGTTGTGATTTAGGTTTACAATTATGAAGTAATTTTGTAAAGACAACCCCTCTACATCTTGACTTAGTTTTGAGAGAAAATACACATTAGAGGAAAAAGCGTCAGACGTTACTTGATACTTTATAGAAATCTAAGTTCTACTCTTATCACGAATCACTTTTGGTTGTTTCAAAGCCTAGGGTAACGAACTATTATATGTCTATGTGTGGTTACAATCCTAGAATGTAATTATCAACGAATTTGCTTTTACAGAGGATCTATGTTTAGGACCGTGGTTTATGCACTTATGTCTAAGTTACATCCCATATTAGTTTCCTAATATTTTTCTTAACCTAACCTTCTCAGTGTCAGGATTCAGTGTGTAGATCAATTTTCCAGTGGCCAACCTAAGAAATGACTAAGGTGAGGAAGAAATGACTAAGGTGAGGGTTTCGAAAACATTAAAATAACAAAGGGAGAAAAGTACAATGAAATCAATCTATCATCTAGGGTTTGAAATTGAAATGAAATAGATGCCTTGGATTTTAAGAGAAGCTCTCCTTAAATAGGGCTTTGAGGTTGGTTGAACTTCACACCAACATTGGAAGAGAGTGTTGAGATTGGGCCAACAGAATGACCATGACTTCCATGCCCCTCATGATCAAAACATGCATTTTGATTAATGATGCCAGAATGTGTCAGGCGCAATGTCCTGTAAAGTGTAAACCCATGAGTTTTTACCTAGTTTGGCCATGTTTTATCTCAATTTAACTTCAAACACCCCATATTGTAATTTATCCAGAAATGTTTAGCTTCTATTCTACTTTAACAATATGCTAACACTTTTTTATAAAATACGTAGGAAAAAGGGTCGTTTTCACAGTCAAACATCCCCCTACGTAAGCTTTCTATAGTAAAAAAGTCAAACTTATAACTGATATATGTGTATGTGAAGTATGATTTCGTGAATGTGCATCAGTTGGATTAAAAACAAGCTCATTAAAGGCATTTTTCTTACTAAACAAGACTTAAATTAACATGAATCAACCATATTTACCCTTAAAAACAAGGGTAATCAAGCCTTCACTCAGAGATGCGATCAAGTCAAAAGTTTGCCACGTAAATCCACCGACTGCTCGAGCTTCTCACACCGATCTCCAACCCTTGGCTCTTTGCTCAATGGGAAATTGACCTGATTGGTCCCATACGTACTAGTAAAGGACAAACCAAGTTTGCTGTAGTTGCACTAGATTATTTCACTTAGTGGGTGGAGGTTGAGCTATTGGCTACCATTATCGAGATTGAGATCACGAAATTCGTGTGGACTAACATTGTTTGCTGCTTTGGCATACCACATTCTATTATCACCGATAATGGAAAGTCGTTTGTCAATGTCAAATTTAACAAATTATTCTTTAAGCTCGGAATCAAACATTTTAACTTGTCTCCAGCACATCTAGAGGCTAATGATCAGGTTGAAGCTATCAACAAGATCATTAAATGCGGATTGAGGCTTAGAATTGAAGATCACAAGGATAGATGGGTAGAAGAATTCCCATAAGTGATGTGGTCTTATCAAACAACCATGCATTTGCTTTGGCCTTCGAGTCAACTCCATCGAAAGATAGAAGATTCCTAGCTAGAGCTCACCGAGTACCAAAAAATAGGGTAGCTTGGTACTACGACTCGAGGGTCAAACCTCGTAGCTTCCGACCTCAAGACCTCGTCTACAAAATGTCTTACAACACGTCGGAGCCCTTGAACCCACATAAGGAAGGACTCTACTAGGTTAAAGATATATTGTGACCTGACCAGTTATGTGTTGATCGACCTGAGTGGAAAACTACTCTCACACCCATGGAATGGAATGCGGAGCACTTGAGGATTTACTACTCACTATCATTCTCGAAGGAACTGTAAACCTTTCTAAGGTAAAAGATCAATAAGGAACCAATTTGAACAAGTATTTCATACAAGCTCAAATGGGGACCATCCTAGCATAGCTTGATTGTGCGAGCTATAGTCATTTTGTTACGTGCACTCAACCACTAGAGCTGCCAAACAAATAAATGACAACTTTTGCAGCGCGGGAGTCTAGGGATTCTTAAATTCCTAAAAGTTAAGTGTTGAAAGTAAGGAGGTTAAAAACTCAAACTTAAATTAAATGATCTAAGTCACTAAAACGAATTCAGGTTGGATAATTCTCCAAAAGCGCTCAAGGTAGTTTCGTTGAAGTTAGGTTCGCTTTAATTAAGTTAGAAATGCAAGCTTAAAAAGGTAATACAGATCTTGTGTGGAATTTAAGAGGTCAAATTTTAATTAATGATCAAAAGGAAGAATCAAGATTTGTGATCATGGTTCTCTCCAAAGACTACTCCTCTTCCAAGTGGTGCTTGAGAGAGCTCACAGTGTTCTTCCTTCTGATGTTAGAAATCCATCCAACCCTTTTCTGAAGAAGAAGTTTGTTAAGTTTAAAAGCGTTCTCAAAGGAGTTGATGATGCGAAAAAGCAGAAGAAATTGGACGAGATTAAGCGTTGTAAGAAAGCCATGAACAAGATTAGCACTCGCGCGCGGGACTTGTCATCACCAAAGCCACGTAAGTTTCTAACTTTTCTATTTTTCTTTTCTCGAGTTCGCCGGGAATTCAAACCTCCTACCAAAATAGTTTGGTAAGATTTTAAATTAAAGTTACTTCATTTTAATTTTACCTTGAGATGTGGGATTCGTCAAATTGAGAAGCCAAAATTAACAAAAAAAAAGAAAGAAAAAAGAGAACGTAGAATACTAGATGGATGGCCACAAAAGAAATAGTTGGAAAAACAAAGGAGAGGGAGGAGAACGAAAGAGGAAGTAGGGTTTATGTTTTTATTTTCTTTTTAATATGGGTAGAGTTGTTAAGGTTTTTCTTTTCTAAATAATTGTATATAAATTGAATTATGAGTTATGTTCACGTTAGTTATTCCCATTCATTTTAGGAAAATTGGAGTGATTAGCAAAAGCTTTTATGTATTTCAAAATATGTCACCTATTTTTAAAAATTTCAAATATAGCAAAAAATTTTAATTATATATATCAATAATATATTAAATACTCAAATTAATAGTATATTAGATTTATATCACATACATATTGCACAAATACTCATATCAATAGTTAGTTAAAAGTATATATCACCACGTACATATTGCAAGAATATCAGACACTTATATCAATAGTACATCAGATATATATTACATATATATCAATAGTCATATATATTACATATATATATCATTTGTGTAAAAGTTGTCATTTTAAAATTGGACTTCCATCTTTTTAAAGGTTATATTTGAAAAAATTAAATATGGTTTCTATTTTGCTAATTTTACTTATTATTTTTTCTTTTGCCATATTTGCAACCGTACCTTGATTTTATACCTTTGAATTAGAGAAATTATAAAGCTAATAAACTCTACTCTATGAATCATTTTTATCCTGCATGAGTAAGAAAACGAGCTAAATATATATTTAAGGTCTTTGAGTAAAAATATGCCAATGTTTAAGAATATGCTTCTTTGTCTAGGGTTTTGTGATTTCAAATTTTAACATTCCAAATGAACTTATGTTGTTTATATGGAAATTCAATGAATTAAAATCTAAATTGATTTCAAGCAATATTTTTATTTGAAAATATTTCCAATAAAATATCATATTTTATAAGATTTCATAGAATTTGAAGGTAAATTACTTATTTAATCTTCTCACATATTTTAATTTTCTATTTAACAAATTAAGATTTAAATCATATATTAGTAAACTGTTTTTTCTTCAAACAAATAAATTTAATTAATTGTGATTTCAAATTTTTTTTTTAATTTTCTTGATTCCAAACCAACGGTTAAGAGTTTGATTTTTTTTTTCTTTTTGAAAAAAAAAAGAGTTTGAATTTTTTTTTTCACCTTGGCTTTAAAAGAAATTCATATTTGGATACTAATTAGGCTATTTAATTTCAATCTCCACAGTTTTAAATGTGAAAATATTTTATGAGTACTTTCCTAATTATTTATTTAAAGAGAGAAGTATATTTTCAATTAGATCTAAACAAAAATATATTCCATGAGTGGGAAAAAGTTAAGCGTGATATATGTTTAATTAGTCTATATATATAAACCAGGGGATTAAAAGTATATTATTTAACACATGTCAAAGTTACAATTGATAATATTATTACAACTCCAAAAAGAAAAATTGGAAATTAAACTCTTGTTAATGAATATTAAAATTATTTAAGTTTAATATATATATAGTTCTATTTTTTAACGGTTAATATTTCATAAGATTTTGAGTCTGTATATATTGTTAAACATTGTTACAATATTTGTGTATATTAGAAAGGGTGTTATAAAGATAAAAAAATAGGTGAAATTATAAGTTTAGTCTCTATTTGGTAGGTAAACCAAATTTTTTTGCTTGACCAAATTTTGTTACTTTACATATTTGTTTTTTAAAACTATTTTCAGATTATTCAAAATATTGAAAATTTAGAGAATAACATTTTTTATGTTTACAAGTTTTCAATTTGAAATTTTAAAATATAGAATTGCATTAGAAAAGAAAAAAAATTGATAAATATACTATTTCAAGTTATAAATAAAGTTAGAGACAGATGTGAATTACAAGTTTAACTCAAGGAAATTTAATTTCAACTACAACCCCTATACAAATTATAATTTTATATACAAAAGAACAATTTAGAAAACAGTATTTTTTTATTTTGTTAATAAAATATATAGTACTAAATTACCACCATTGCTCTGTTTCATCCATATACACAAAGTTAAATATTTTTTGTTTTTTATGTTTCGAGTACGCAGCCCACAAGTCGATGCTGTGGAGAAAATTGCCAGACAAGTATTTGATACAATATTAGAAGAATCAACACATGAGACCATGGCTATGGGACAAATATTCGATATAACATCAGAAGAACCGACACGACAGACTATGATTGCAAGACAGATATTTGCTACAAAATTAGAAGAATCGGCACAAGAGACCATGCTTGTGGGACAAATATTTGATACAATATCAGAAGAACCGAAATCAACAGAGGAAACCTCCATGGTCGTGTTTGACATCATGAAGGCTATCAATTGTTTTTGTACCATGATCAAAACTACCATTGACGAAAAAAATAGCTCTATCCAATCGAAAGGAAAATGCACAATTTTATAGACTCACAGTGTGTTCTTGATTGAAAAGTATTTAAAGAAACATTGTTTTATTATGAGAAATTGAGGTAGCGTCCAACCTCATGGAAAGAATTAGATGCCAAGAACTGCTAAACTATCATTATGTTTGATCATTTTAAAAATGTATATGTAGAACCAATTATTAATGAAAATCTGGGTATGGGACGACACTTTCTAGCCAAGTACTTTTTTCAAAAACACTTATTTTAAAAAGCACTCTTAAACAAACACCAAGTACGTTGGAAATCATAAGTTTGGAGGTATGGGAAGACCTCTAATATTGAATTATTGCCAACATGATGAATGAATTTTTAGTTCACCCTATTCTAGTGTATTTGGGGCAGCTTTTGAAAGAAAGAAAGAAAAAAAAACCGCTTTTTCAATTAAAAAATATTTTTAAAAATTATTAATTTAGAGTGTATTTAGTATAATTTTTTGAGTGATTTTAAATGTCTAAAGGTTTGTTTTTTTCAACGCTACCGCGTATGTTAATAGATAAAAAAAATCTACGGTGTTTTTTGTTAACTTCCCCCATAAAGCTTTTCCCCGTTTTAACAGTTCAAATCTTACTAAATCAAGGGTATTTCTACACCTAGTTCAGCTTAAGGCAATAATTAAACTCATAAGTTTAGAAAACGTTAACACATTAACTCTCCCATTTTAGATGACCAATCAAGTAGGTTATCCAAAAGTTACACACAGTATGCCAGATCGGATTACGAGACATTCTTCTTTCCTATAGGGTCACATTATTGTATCCTTCTTCACGAGTGCATCGTGATGCTTGTTCTAGATAAGAGGATCTCGATTCGCTTTATTTGGAGTTATCAGTTCACCTATATAGTTTGGACTTATTTGTTTCAGGCTTTTGAGATTTGATTCACTTGTTCTAGATACTGTAGTTTAACGTTGGAGGAGACTTCATTCATCCTATGTCTCAAGAGTAAAGACAAGGAAAATTTCTTGTGTGTACATGTTTTTTCGCTGTTTTGTGGAGCTTTGAAGTGATATAAATAACAAGATTTATAGATGGGTTGAGAGATTTGGGAATAGAAATCTGGATTTTCATAACCTTTTTTACGATGTCATATATTCGTCCATCAAGAAAGGTAAACATGACGTTTAAAATAAACGTCACAGAAAATGGATTTCATGATACTTAAAAAACGTCACGAAAAATGAATTTCATGATAGTTAAAAAAAAACATCACGGAAAATAGATTTTATGACGTTTTGAAAACGTACCGTCACGAAAAATAGATTTCGTGATGGTTCAAATACGTCACGAAAAAATAGATTTAATCACATTTAAAGAACATCATGAAAGAAGAAGAAGAACCAAAATTTTACTATTCATCAACGTCACGTAAACACGAAATTATATACACAAAGTTGTATATGATAAAATCAAAGAATTCATACACATATACGAATAAAGTATGATACAATTTGCTATTACAACATTTTTTTACATATATACTACAATTACATCGAGAGAATGAAACAAAGAAGACCATAAAATGATTGTCTTGCATTCAATAGTTCTTGATTTCTAAAGTCCTCCATTACTAAAGATTTATATATCTCTAGTCCTATCTAATAGAAGGTTCATTAAGAGGAATATTTGTAGATAAAAACTAATGTCCAATAGACAAATCATAACCAATAAAAGAAGATACAATTGAACAAATAGAATAAGGTATACAAAATCTAGAAACCACTATAAACAAACCTTATACGATTAGCAAAAACATGTGAAGATGAGTGTGTTGCTAAACATGTGAAGATGAGTGTGTTGTAGGTCTTCAATGTGCATGAGACAAAAAAGTCCTTTTAAGTATTATGAAAACAATAACACAATGATACAAGTGAAAGAACACCTTGGCCAAAATAATATCCTCACCCATAAAAGTGTCTACTTAACTTTGTTTCTTCCATCTACAAGTATCTAGTATCTAAGAGAGAGTTTGATATGCGATGGTTATTTGGCACTAATTCAATATTTCAAAATTTGGCATCATCTAGCAACCATTTGAAAGGTAATTAAGAAATAATAACTGGGTCATTGTTTAAAGAGAATCATTAGTGAAAGTGAAATTGTGCAAGATAGAATGTGGTGGCTTGTGCAGATGTGCCTTGAGAACAATTTTATAGTTGAGCAATTTGAGGGGGACTGACGACTTGGATAGGATAGATAAAGCGCTTATGCTCAACAACACCATTTCCATTGTCCTTTAACAGTTTCGGAGTGTGGGGACATGACTTTTGATGAAATATGCCATCAGAGGTAAAAAAAAAAAGGAGGATGTGGAGTGATTTACGGATTCACTAGCAACATCACTCTAAAATTTTTTTAAAAGTCGATCAAGCAAATTTTCGACATGTGGTTTAAATTTTTTAATAACAAAGGTGACATAAGATTTGTGCACTGGAGGAAAATCCAAGTGTAGCGAGACCTATCATCAATAAAAGAAATAAAATAATGACAACCATTAACATATAGTAGGAGCTAGTTCCCAAAGATCACTATGGTAGAGTGCTAAAGGTTCATCTGAAACATGGCAAGATAAAGAAAAATGCAATTTGGACATTTTGCCATGTAAACAATGTGAATAAAGACAAGAGTAAAAGACTTATTCAAAGCAATAGATGAATCTATGTAAAGAAGCTGAATAATGTTTTTGTCTGAGTCAACAAGACAATTATGCCACAAGAGGTGAGACACCTTAGCCCCTAGATGTGCATAGACCTGTAAAGAGACACAAATGGGACAGAGACCATTCTGACACGACCATTCATATAGAACTAAACGTGACTTTCTGTCAAGAACAGAAAAGGAATTAATAGTGAAGAGAAAGCAACATTCATTATTAACATAAAGCTGATATACTAAGAATAAATTAGATGACATTCAAGGAACACACGACATATTGTTGAGAGAAAAGGATTTGGAAGGAGTGGTTAACGTGTCTTAGCCAGTGTGAGTTATGGCTGATTGACCATTACCAACAGTAATTCTTTCTTCACTGTTGTAGTCGTTGGAGATAGTGAGGTTGGCCATGTCTAAGGTCATGTGGGCGTTACAGCCAATGTCAATGAACCAATGTGTTTTAGGTTGCCACCATGGCAACAAATTGGGATGGTGGATGGCGACCTTGATAGGCATAACTCATTCGATTGTAATAGTTGAGGGCACAATATCCAAACTTCTAACAGATTTGGCAGATCACTTTGTGAGGATGAAAAAGTTATGGCGATTGGGGAAGCCACCAAATAATGAATGGGCGGTTGGGGAGGGCGTGGAAAAACTGCCATGGTCATTGTTGCTGTTGGATCGGTATGGCAACCCTAGAGGGGGGTGAATAGGGTTTAATTAACAAAATATAATCTTTTTAATAAATGGGCCCAATTTAAACAAAAAT